TCAAAAATGATCACAATCTATAATGCTATAAAAGCAAAGTCCCACCTAGTTTAAAATAGAAACAATAGAGCATTGTTTTTCTCTGAACTCCTCACAATATATTATACCTAACCTTTAAAACTAAATCTATACTGGGACGCCTGGGTGGCTCAGTTAAGTGGCTGCCTTCGGCTCAGGTCATGCTCCCAGGGTCCTGGGATCGAGCCCCGCCATCGGGCTCCCTGCTCGCCTGGGAGCCTGCTTCTCCCTCTGCCTGCTGCTCCCCCTGCTTGTGCTCTCGCACGCTCTGACAAAGAAATAAAATCTTTAAAAAAAATGAAAATACATCTATACTTAATGGTCACCTTATACTTACATTTAAGGTTCCTTTACTAATCAATCTTGAGATTTTTAGGATTAAGAATGAGCTAATTATGTTATGTTTAGGAATCTCAATTGTCCAGAATAGTCAAATGATAAAAGATTCTAGTATGATAGAGTAAAACATTCTTTCTCCAATAACAGGCATACAATATATAATTTAAACTTTCTATGTTTCTGGTCATTTTGAAAAACTCTTGTAGCCAACTGTTTTCATAAAAATAAAAAAACTGTGGTCATTGTAAGATTTCACTTCCTCTCATCCAAAATCTTATTATTCCTCCAGGAAGATGTAGTCCCCTTCTGTAATTAAACCTCGGTGGGTCTGTGACTGACTATAACCAATAGAGTAAGTGAGGACTTCCCAGATTAGGTCATAAAAAGGATTCAACTTTTACCTCTTGGAACCCAGCTACGCTACTATAAGGCAGTATCTAAGTAGAGATCTGGCTACATCCCAGCTGAGGTCTCATCCAACATCAAACACCTGTGCATGAAAAGCCTTCAGATGAGTCCAGTCCCTGTCTTTCAAAAACTGCCCCTAACGATGCTCAGTACAGCAGAAATGAACTATAGCCAAGCAGAATCAACAAAATAAATCTTGTCAATGTCTTAAGTTTTGAGAGTGGTTTTGTTATCCAGTACTAGGTAACTGCAACTACTGATACCTTTCCATGATCTCACAGAACCAGTGAATTTACAGAACAATATACACAACCAAGCATTGTTTTACCATTTTCCTCAATATAAGCCAACCAGTACGTAGGATTTGACAACTACAAAGGACCTTAGACTATCTTGAACCAACGAGAATCCATCGTTTATCTTGTTACAAGACCCATAAGAATGGTTTGGTAAAACGGAAAGAAAAGAGTCCAGATAAATCCTAACTAATCTACACATACAAAGTCTGCTGTACGCCTACCATCCCAGTACTGTTAAGTTAGGAAATCCAACAGCAAGCATGCATCCCTAAACTACCTCTTAAACTGGTAGAGCCAGTTCAGAACTGAAGAATCAGAATACGTATTAAATCAAAGAAAAAGAGACTATGTTGAGTAAGCCATGCACAGAAGACTAGTGGCAGGAAAAAGGTGAAAGAAAAGGCAGCCAAGCAGAGTTCAAACAGTGCAAATGCAAGTTAGACAGGCTGGGTTGTTGATACCGAAGCTGCTCTAAAGGTTATACACCCACTCACCAAGCCAACTGAACAGCAAAGAGATCAGATCCAGCTTCTAGTTTTAAAACTTACATCAACTAGCCTAATCCAAGTCTAAAATGACATCTTCTTTCAAAACAGACACCTATCTCATTGTCCGCCTCTAGGTTACCTGTCACAATGTCCACAGCTCCAGGTAAATGTTAGGGATGGAGAAGACGGGCTGAATAGGGACAACTTGGGTGTTCTGGAGCATTAATATCCAAATACTTCAGACTTAATTTTACTCTAGATTATTTCTGGATGAAAGCCAAGGCCAAAAATTAGCATATGAAAACATGTATAAAAAATAGGTAGAGATCTTTTTAAAACTAGCTGACTTTAGAGAACAAATTATTTTCTATATTAATTTTACATAAAAAACTTTCAAAATGAAATAGCTTTATATTTCTCATCCAGTCTTGTCTGTTCTTTTGTACACCAAGTAGGGCACCTCTTAGCCAAGAGCCATTTTGCCTTTAGAAACACAACAAAACCCCAACTAGTTCTAAAATTAACTGCCAAAATCAATTTAAAATGTGATTCCAACTACAAGTTCTAGATTTTCTTATGTTACAGAAGCACATTTACTAAATGCTCATTATTTATGAGGTTCTAAGTACTAGAAGCATTGTGTTCTCATTAGTGCTCACCACAACCTTCACAAAACAATGAACAGTGACAGATGAACCCCAAAGCCTGTATTTAACAATTCTACCTCTACCACCCATTATTCCCACATTTATTTAAAAAATGGTAATTCGTCACTTGTTTAGGGGCTATATGGCTTTAATCTAAAAATTAGATCTTTTCCATTTTTATTCATGGTTTTTTATTCCTATAGAGCAACCTCACCCACAATTCTCATTCCTGAGTCCACCTATTTGATGAAGGTAGTTACAAATACGGACTGGAGGAAGGCTAAGAAAAAAATCCTGTGTTGGATTAACTTTGAAGCATTCACTCTGTATTGTTTTTAATCTATTTTCACTGGTCAAAACAAATTTGACTGCACATTCAACATTACTTGTACTGTGATTCTGTGAGAACGTCTTCATAATGAGAAAAAAACAGCACTTAGAGAGTAAAAGGGTATGATGCCTGCAACTTTGTCATATAGTTTAGAAACAATGTGTATATGGATGCATAAGAATATAGGGCTATGTAGCATAATCAGTAACTGTACTTTCAGAATCAGAGTTACACTGTCATGTCTTAGTTTAAAAATTGCCTTCATGGAAGGGTCCTCACTTGAAATACTCTCAACAGGTGGTTTTTAGTGTTTTAAACCCTTTAAAAGGACTTCCATGGCTTGGCGTCTTCTATCTCCATCCATTCTTTCAACACCTTGAATGTGCCCCAGATTGTCCTACTTCAGGACTTTCAGTGTGTCTCCTCCAGTACCTTCACCTGAACTGTTCTCTGCTCAAGGATCCATTCTTCACTACACAAATTCCTACTCATCCTTGAAATCCCAGCTAAAAGCTGTCATGTAAGTTTTGAGTCTTCTGATAGAAAATACTTCACCAATTTATGAAAAATTTATCAGAGCCACAACTGCCTAACCTCATTATGAATATCAAAATTATGACTATCAATAGCGTTAACTCTTGATATGAGGTTTGTCAACTTCTGGCACTTTTGATCACTCATCCCCAAGTTCCTTCTTGGTTTTTAAGTTTAAATCACACAAAAACTAAAAACTACTTTTATCTTAAGCAACATTTTCTCCTGAGTTTCAAAATAAAAAAACTCAAAACAAGTAATTAAGAGATCTACAAAAGCTACAAACTGTCAATTTCCAATATGAAAATTAAGCAACTGGATTAAGGACTTATTTCCTGCTGGCAATTTATTATTTCTAAATTGTTATGCTCCATTTCTCAACTATTTTACACTTAAGATAGTCAATGCCTTAATTTTTTTTAACTGAAAAGCCTAAAAATACATAAAGAGGTCAAACGGAAGAAACACAAGATACAAAGTATATTGTATTTTTTGAAAATATAATTAATACATCAATTAAAAATTTCTTATGGATACTCATCCTTTAAGTAATTTCACACTCCCACAAAGATGTTTCCATTTCTCAGAAGTCACATGAGTGATCCCTAAGAACTTGGTTTTTTAAACCAAGTTATATTCTGATACCTGGATTTTTAAACCGGTATACAATATCACCATTGTACATCTGTAAGTTAGTTAATTTCACCATTATCATTTACATTTACTTTTCAGCTATTAGACTTAGTGCTTTAAGTAGCAAATTACCTAAATTATGAACACATATTTTCAAAACAAAATCCAGTTCACAATTACCAAGTATATACAGTGCAGAAGATTAAAAAAAAAAAAACCTAAAGTAGCATAGGATTTCTCTTTCCTAAGGTTCCTATTAAGAACATATACTTCTAAACTACCTTTATTCTGTACATTTAAAATAACATTTGGCTTAACTTAGCCAAAAAATATAAAGACTAAAATTTTTGTAAGACTAACCCTTAATGGACTCAAATTCTAAACCAAGCCCTGAAACCAAGCATTCAAAGAATATCTGAATATTAGTTTAATATTTCCGCATTGTACGATAAGGTTTTCACAAACAATAAAGTTTTATTTTTACTTTTAATAATGGTAATGGCCTACAACTCAGATAAACCCACAAATTCATACTGTCTTACAAACAGCAGTAATATGAATAATTAATTCAGTTATCTTAGGGGCCTTATTATATACCAATCAGTATCATTAACCTATTCACATTATAATGAAAATATTTCTATCAAAGCTAATGTCTCCCTTTCAGGTTTGTTTTTATTATATGAGCTAAAACGGAAACAGAGGTAGAATCCCATTTTTCTTAAGTTATTACTCTGTAAGCCAGTCCCACACATTTTTATGTCACAGAAATATTAATACTGCTTCAGTGAACTAGATAAAAGAATTCTGAAAAATTACATAAACTTTCAGACATCTGTGTTAAACTAAAAAACCTGTGATTTATGAAACTATTGTTCTGTTTACTTACCATATTTGAATGACCATAAAATGACAGAAAAAAATTTTCGAAGTATTAGCTTATATAGGGCTGATTATATGAGATTCTGCCATTTCTAGAGAGAAAAAATAGAACTTCTTGGTAATCTGTGCCTGAGTTAGGGGAAACTATAAACTGAAAATGTAAAGACAAAATTCAAAGTGTCTCAAAAACGTCTATAGTTAACTCAGAGTAAAAACCTTTCTAGTCTTCCAGTAACAAACTCCATTTAGCAGGGCTTGGGAGGTTCCTTTTAAAATTATACAAATTTACAGGCCATCCTGGCCTAAGCACAGAATAGCCTACTCTAAACATCTCTACTCTTCAAAAAAAAGTATATAGAAATATATTCACATTTTTAAAAAAACACCCAAAATATCACCAGTACATTTTATAAAATTAAACGCAAATTTTATTAAGGATTTCAAATTACATATTTCAAATTTCTAAAATGGAATAGAACCATTTTGGAACTGGAGAGATGGCATAGATGAACACTGATATCCCTTGCAATGCCAAATTTATTAAGAAAACAATTCCTCTGCAAACCACATCCCTTTATATAACAAGATGAAATAGTATCTGCCCCTTCACTTTGGCAATAGCTATTACCTAAAGGAATGAAAAAAAAATAGTGGTTCTGCTACTTAAGTTCATTAAAAATGGGATTCTATCTTTAAATTTTTTTAAGTTCAGAAAAGGCTGTGATCGAATGAGCTATGGGTACAAAAACAAAAATCAGCAAAGAATGTCTAATCAAAGCAACCAAAAACATTTTCAAAATAAAGAGGAAAAACAAGGTGTTTTCATGGCATTTTTTTTCCTACACACTACTGCAACTGGTTAAGGATTTCCAGTAGTTAATTAAAATCTCAGAAGAGGAATGAATAGTATTACACAAATAACAAGATGTGTTCACATTCCAAGATCTTTAAATACTAAATTTTCAAAACGGAAGCTCTATCACTTCTAAAAACAATGTAATTTTATTAAGAGCAGGAACTCTAGGCCATCCTCTAATTATAATCCGTTTAGTCCACCCTCACATGAAAGCTTTTAAGCTCATCACAAAAAATTAACAGTAATTAGCCTGAGGTATTTTAAATGTGGCTCTACAGACTCAAATTTAATGGCATTTCCCCCCAACTAAAAATGGTCTTCTTCCTACGTTAGTCCCATGATCTCTGTAGTATTTTACTACAATATGGTCATAACTAAAATACCTAAAAACAATCCTTGGACCTTTTCAAAGAGTTGCTCTTCTAGCAGCTTCTATTAAGATAGGAGCCACACAAAGATCTGCAAGAATGTTGCCTGACCAGATCCAGAACAGAGGTACTTAAACCTTTGTTTTCCAGTTGAATTATCAAACCCTGGTATGAATAAAATGCTGAATATCATACTTGTGGTACAAATAGGTCCAATTTTTGAGCTTTTAATGAGATCGAGAAACATTTCATAAAATCTAACTTAATATGCCTTAACAGATCTGTGAGGTAGTTAGGTAAACAGTACTACCCATTTTAATACATAGTAAACAGAAGCATGGGTAAATGACATACTCATACTTTAAAAGCAGTAAGAATCAGAATTAACCATAGAAGCTTGGGGCCTTCTCTCTAGCTCTAATCAAAGGAAATAAAATTTTAACCTTTTAATCTTTTAAAAAAACATTACATCATTTAAGATTTTGTCTTTCTTTTTTATACTTTCTTAATTAGCAGATGTAGTACCTCTCCCAAAGTTGACACACTTCTCTTCCATAATATGGTAAACTGGGTACAATGCTTAATTCAAGCTAGGCCTCTGCTACTACCTGAATTAGTAGAAAATTAAGACATTATCTTGTGAGAACTAAAATTATATTTGACATTTTTATTTTAAGCTGGAAAAACAAAAACAAGCAAACAAACAATAACAAAAAAACTTGAAATAGGCTTGTCAAATGATGTAAATTCATCCTTTCCAGGGAAGCAGAAGGTAGACCCTACCATAAAGAAAAGATGCTTAGTTAATGGAAGTTATATTTAAAAGTACAGTTAAAATAATGAGGCTTAACTTCTGAAAATAGGTTTTATTCAACTTCCCTACAATAACCAATAACCACACTATGTGTTAGTTTTCTTTACTATGGTTTCCTTACTAGGTTTCTAACTATGTCACCTAAAATACAAAAGTCCATTAATAATCTAAGTTATCAGTTGTGGTCTTACTGGAAATTCTTAACCATATATTTGTCTCAACAAGTTTTTTTTGTTTTTGTTTTTTAAATGAGGAATTGTCTCAGTCTAAGTCACTGCATTTCTACAGCAAAGTAATGAAAGGCACAGCTAGTGCAAGCAAACGTAAACCCAATTCAACTACCAGCTGAAAAAAATACTTTGGTTCTTCAGGAAAAAAATTGGCAAAGCAAAAAAAAAAAAAAAAGTTTAACAGTTCTGTTCATTTTCATAGCTGTAATCTAAAATCTTTGTTACATGATAAAAATTACTCCAGAAGAACCAAACCATGTAGTGATGAATGAACATGCATGAAAGAATTTGTGCAATCAATAGACCTGGCAGAAAAACTAGAGTTGAAATGATAAGTAGAACAAATTGGTCTTTAAAATTATCAGTTCCTTTCCTTTAAAAAAAATTACTGAGTCTACCAAGAAAATACAAAAACATAAGGCTGTAAGTAAATAATAGTTGTGTTTAGGCTATTACAGTGCAGGTTATCCTCAAGGCCACATACATCCTGCTTCACTGCTGCTTGCACTCTGCTGGGTTTTGATCCTTCTGTTAAAGGAAAACAACAAGTCAATCTATCTTTTTCTACCTGCTTCAGTTAATTTTCAACAGTAATTATCATATATTATCTCAATGTTCCACCAAAATTTTTGCCAAATTAAAGAAATGGTATAGCAAGGATGACAAAGTATTTATTAAAATATTAGCAAGTCACAAAAATGCTAAAATAAGGCCCAAATTTTACATTGTGGAATGAACTCCATAAAATAACACACTAAACCAAAATAAAAGCAATTTATGTTAGTCATATTACCAATTATTTTTGCCTTTTTATATATCAATTACAATTATTCAAACATACTAATTCATACCCTTTAGAACAATTAATTTGATTTTTAACTACCCCTCTCTTAACCTGCTCACTAAAGTATCTTCCGGAACTTTTACAGTATTTAGCAAATGAACGAATGCATTTAACAGAAACCAAAAGTTTCAAATGAATCCTGATAATGTACTATGTATTTTCGGGGAGATAAAGGGCTTTACTAACCCTGATATGACAAATACCCAAGAACGACAGAACAGGAGTCTCAAAGGAGGTGGTTGGGAGAACCTAACAAACAGTACTGCTGCTTCCCTATTCCCAAGCACTCCTGCAATCAAATTATTTAAAAACTGACCTTTGTTTATAAAGTTATCCTTTGGAGGGGAAAACCTAAGAACACAAGCAGTTAAGTAATTTCAAATGCTTCTAAGGGCGCCTGCCAGAGTTCCGCCCCACCCTGCCCCCCTCCCCCTCAGGCCGTCTAGGGAAGGGAATCCGCTTGAGGATTCAAGCAGATGCTTGCTCACTCTCCCTTTCCCCCGCCCCTCCCCCACTCCACCTGCCTCCTCTCTCTCTCATAAATCTTTGAAAAATAAAATGCTTCTAAAAAACTTAAAAAAAAAAAAAAACCCCAGGGCGCCTGGGTGGCTCAGTCGGTTAAGGGTCTGCCTTCGGCTCAGGTCATGGTCCAGGGTTAAAACCAGGCGTCAGGCTCTCTGCTCAGTAGGGAGCACGCTTCTCCCTCTCCCTCTCCCTCTGCACCACCCCCACCTCCCCACCTCGTGCTGCTCTCCCTCTCAAATAATAAAATCTTAAAAAAAAAAAAGCCCAAGATAATGTACACTAAAATAGAATCTTAGGGTTTATTTAGCCTGAAACTAAGAAAAATACAAGTCAGAACCAAAAATAAAACTTCTTAGGCAATGTGCATTGAAATTTCATGTACTGTTGAAATGCCAGTGGGGATTCAAGTGTACTATACATTCATCTCCAGGCAATAGGATTTATTAAAGACTTTAGTGGACAAAAATAAACTTTATATTAAGAAACATCAACTCTTATTTAACCTGCCTTAAATTTAATAGAAAGCAGCACTAATTTTGCTCACCTTTGAGTCATAGTCTGGATCATTTTCCTCATCTCCTTCTTCTTCCCCTTCCTATATTAAAGTTCAAAATGCATCCATGAAGTAGGTACACAGTAGGAAGAAATGGCTCATAACGTACGGAGAAATTTTAATACAAGTTACTCTATGGGTCAAAAGATTTTCATGATTACAGAGTATGGTGACAATGCAATTTAATTGAAAGCTTCTAATATGAAAAATTTCCCAACACAACTTGAGACATCCAGAGAGCTTTTATTGAAAAGATTTACTGCAGCCAACGTTGAAAAAGTTTACTGCAGCTTTTGACTTCTTCAAAGAGCTGATAACCCTGCAGCAGAACAGAATTATTTGAAATAAAAAAAATGTTCTGAGTTTTGCAATTTATTTATTGAAACCTCATACATACATTGTTTGGCTGTAGAATTCTAAAACCGTATGTTTTTCCAAAAGGCTTATATCCCATATCACAGAATGATTATAGCAAAGGAATACATAAGTCACTCAATTTGCTTCTCAATGTGTTAAACAGAGAATTATTTGCTCATTTGGTAAACATTACCTCATCTGCTTCTTCACCTTCTTCATCATACTAAAAAGGGAAAAAAGGATGAAGTTTGAATGAAGCTAACAAACATTTGAGAATAGCATTAGTTACAGCCATCTTGTCTCCACTAATATCTAAAAAGAGGAAAATACTTTCCTTAAGGCAATTATAAATTAAATGGCTGCAGGAATCACTCAATTCAGGGCCGTTATCTAAATCCGACAATTTTAGAAGTTAAAATAAAGAATACGGTACAATTGTGCGTGTGATCATACAACTATTACTATAAATATTACTTGCCTGTACTTATGCAAACACACAGCACAAAAAGGCCCTAAACCTATTTGAATGACTGACATTTAGCAATAAAGATAGCCAAAATATTTGAAGGCAGCCTAGTTTTACCTTAATTGTTGCTTAATATTCCTTTGGATAAAAATTCTATGCTTCCTAGTATTTTTAAAAGTAATAAAAAATATCTTAGACATGTTTTGTTTGGTCAAAAACAAGAGCATAACACATCTACAACACTGACCAAACACAGTAAAGTTGCACTAATTCAGAGCAGTCTTCCTATTAGCAGGAAAATAAAAGCTACCAAAGATCCTAAGAGGACATATTTAAAACAATTCAGGAAAGTTATCTATAGAACATCAGTAATTAGCCTTTGAATTATTCTGTTTTTTAAAAAATTACATCTGTTCGTTTAACTGCTCACCAGCTGACCACCATACCCTCACCAAATGATTTCACTGCAGGATTCAGATTCACTCACATCATCATCATCATCTTCGATAGCTTCTCCAGTAAAGTATAACACTGATCTTGGGATTATACGCTCACGTAGAAAGTGACCAATTTCAAAGTCTGCAGCAAGGATAGCTTCGGCATCATCATCCTGTTTTGTTTTGTTTTTTTTTTTAAGAAAAAAAAGGCACAAAACTTAATAACTGTTACTTAATTAGGCACATGCAAGACTCTTGGGTTTAAATTCTATGAAACAACATTCAACTTCACTTTTAACTTTCTGTCATTTTAAAATTAGCTTATGTGTGTGATTAAACAGTCACTGATATATACCTTAGGTTTAATAAAAAGAAAGTTACCAAGTCAGTGTACATACTCAGAGAAATTTGGGAAAATAAAAATCAGAACTGGTTATTGCTTAGTTTTTTTACTTAAAATATAAAAGCAACTTTGTTACATGACTTTAATTTTCCTTATAAATATTCATTATTGAAAACACCAAATGGAACAATACTAGAAAAGAATCTCAGGACTTAAATATTAGGCATACAGCACATAATGAAAGAACATGGAGGATCAGTCACGTTTCCTTAAAGATAGTACAGAAGCAGTTTTTTGTACATAATGCCAAATGAGATAGAATCCTACTTAATACTAAGTCAATCTAGGATCTCTATTTAATGACAGCACAACACAGAAATGGTGCTGACATTATTCAAAATTCAAATAATCCCATTTAAGTTCCATGATACCAAACAATGAGTAAACATTCCATGGGTATTTATTTTGATTCATCAACATAATCCACTATAATAAACAGCCAAAAAAACACAAAAGGGGGCAGGGGACTTTGAGGGAAAGACTTGTAATCACAGGTGGAAGTGTTCTAGCTACAACTACTCAAGACTGTTTTGTTACCACAAATATTTGACAATAGAATTAAAAAAAAAAAAAAATCACTTCAACACAAACTCCCAACCCACTTACTGACATGAAAATAGCATGAAACTCTATACCACAATGTTCTTAAGTAGTTCTACCTAAAACTCAGGTACTGCTATATAGTCCCTTTTTTTGTCCCACAAACGACGTTGAAGCAAGCCACTCACCACTCTTTACAGGCAGAAATACTTGCCTTTTACAGATCTGGTCTTAGCCTTAGCCAAAACTATTCCAATTCAAAAGTGTTCAAAATAAACATACTTTCTAATTCCATATGTATAAAACTACTAAACAATCGGAGTTAAAGTTAAAAAATCTGGCCAACAGAAGAGCAGATTCAAAACCTACATAGCTTACATCCTGCCTGCACAGCATTCCAGGCTGTGCACAGGCACCATTGCAGCTCTTGGCTTATATGGTCACATAACACATGGCCACAATATGAAACCATGTTTCCACTGGAATAACAAATACAGAGAGTTCTAACCAAAATGTGGTTAGGAGTTTTAGTAAATAAATAGTACAAATGATGTATTTAAAACATACTAGTTTCAGTAAGAAAACTATCATCTTAAGAACCTGAATCCCCCACAATACTTCCAAGCCTCAAAAGAAAAGCCTTTAGTCTCTCAGCATTACTCAATGGGAAGCACTATAGGCATTCTGAATGAAATAATTTCAGATGCATAAAGGTCTTCTCCATGCATTGCAAGCCTCAGAACAAAATTCGAGTAGCAACTATCCAACTCCCCACTTTTGAGAACCAGTTCTTTAATGTCATAGTGAACAATTCAACAAATAAATAACAATTTAACTTACCAGATCTCCACTTTCAGGAACTGCAAAATTGAGAAAAGAAATTCAAATGAGTAAGAAATTAAAGAAAGCTTATAATAAAACAACCATTAATACCCAAACGAAAACACTATTTACCTTCAGGAGGGGCAAAAAAATTAAAGAAAGAGTCATTGGAAACTGTTTTGGTCACAGTACGAACTGTCCCACGTCCCTTGTGTTTTTGTTTCTTCTTAATGGTTTTCAAAGTGACATTCTTTCCTTTTTTCCAATCTATCTGGCACCTTGCAAAACAAAAGGAAGAATCTATCACAATTATCATACTATGCTTAATTGCTCTAAGAGCGAAGATTTATCTAATTAAGTACTGTATTTTTTAAAAAGATTTTATTTTCTAGAGAGTGAGCCAGAGATAGAAGAACCAAGAGCACATGCCTGTGAGCAGGGGGAGGAGCAGAAGGAAAAAGTCTCAAGCAGACTCTGGGCTGGGACACGGAGTTCCATCTCACAACCGTGAGATCATGACCTGAGCCTAAACCAAGAGTCGGAAGCTTAACTGAGCCACCCAAGTGCCCCAAATATTATTTTTTAATTACAAATTTTAGAGGGAAAAAATGGCTCACATGCTTTCGATAGCAATATAAAGAGAAAATTTTATTTCTAAACATTTTTCTATAAATACATTGACAATTAGCACAAATTCACAATATAAATAAATTTAAGTGTGTTCTCCTTTGAAGAAATGTAATACTATAAGCCAAGGAGAATTCCAGGAAAATAGGTGTGCTCATCTAAGAAAACACTTATCTGAAATGTTTAGAGATAAACTATGTATCAAGTACACACTAGGAAATACCAAATATCACAAATCACAAGTAAAACAAAAAAGAATATTCTGTGAAAGTAGTAAATTAAACTCACCCTGTACAACCCATAATTTCTGGTCCATCAAAAGAAAAGGGATCAGAATCATCCGGTTCTGACCTCATCCTATATGTCTTTGTCAACACTTCATTTGTGAAATATTCATTGGGTTCAAAGTGAAATTCTAAGACAAAACTCTTAAAAAAAATAAAAAAAATAAACACTAATGAAATTTCTACATCACATATATTAATGCTTTAGTAGGTAAAATTCAATCTGTTGATTTTTATAAACACAGAAACTTCTAGGTGTGATAATGCCTTTCCTATTCTGGGAAAGGGTCAGATAAACCCCAAATTATATTTAAAAAGGCAAAACAAGACAAAATAAAACAATAAAACAGCTCAGCTTACAATTTCTATTTAGTAACATGTTCATAAAATTGGTTAGAACAACTGAATAAACTGACCAAGTACTCTTTCCTCCTTCCATCCTCACAAAGAGGACTTTAAATCATCTTCTAACCCGAATTTGACAGAGGAACTTTACTACACACGATAGAAGACTCTATATAGTAGCTTTGCCCATACTTCAAATACTGATGGTTTTTGGGAGAAGCTAGTAGCTGATCTTTCATCATGGGGAAGCAGGGGCCCTCTAACATCTTCTGTTTTATGTAATCCCCAGACACATGCCTTTTAAGACAGAGTAAGTATTTAGGGTGCTATTATTTTTTATCTATTTTTATCAAGGACTTACTATATTTCAAAAAGTTTTATGTTCAGAGGGAGGAAAAGGAATAAATTCTACATCACAATTACCAACACCCAAACATTTATTGCCTACCAACAATTAAAAAGTACCAAGTATGAATTTTAACTTCTTTCTCACCCATCTCTAGGCTTAGAATATCACCTCTTTTTAGAAAGTTCCATGTATCTACCTATAAACATCTAATGTTACAGAACTAAAAATATTTCAAAGTTCTTTTACCATGGGCTGGCCAGCATCTGAGAACTTCACTTTAATATCTTTCAAGTGCTTCAAAATAGGTTCATCATGTTCCTGCAAATTAAGAAAATATTAAAATGAGTATCTAACATGGCATTTTAGGATCAGTGTGCTATTACTGGACAATAAACATTTAGCTGAGACATTTATAGTGAGGCTTTATGTAACACTTATGAACCATAAGACCTATTCTCCAGATAATGGCTTATACTAAAGCTAGTTTACTTATAAGCTCTACTTATTTCTACTGGCAATGGTAGAAAAAAAGTGACTTAACAGAGAATTACATCATCATCAGACTGAATGAGCTGAAGAATATAAAACCAAGTCTAACTCAGGCATGTTTGCTTTAAAAACATTTCCTTTCCCAGCTGCTTCTTGTTCCTTTCATTCTGCTAGGTCCTTTCCTACTTTGCCAAAGTAGAAATGCAATAAGCAGTCATTGTTTTGAGATTTCTTTTTCTTGACTTTAACTTTCAACAATCACACTATAAGGCAACAAGTACTATAATGCACATAGTAGTGGCTCAAGAAATGCTTCTGATTAGGACACAAAAAGTTTCCCGGAGAAAGTGACATCTTTGTTGGATTCCCAGAAAAAGTGACAACTTTAAGAGTTAAAGATCTTTATGTTATTCTTTTAAAATGCAAATGTCCCCTGGAATATTTGTTTCAGACTGAAAAGGTCTTTTTGGGTAAGAGAAATGAAATTTTAAGTTTCCTCCCTCCAATCTCTAATACCAAGCACTTAAATACAGAAGACATAAGACTACGACAAAACATTGCTCAATGATAAACTGTCAAAGGGCCATTTCATTATCTAATTTTTGAAAATGAATTAGAATTAATCAAAGATGCAATTTTCCTTCTACAGGTAACAGGTTTCAAAAGACAGCAATCATTCTATAGAGGTCAATGATGGAGACTAGTCATCCCAGCCATTTAAATTTCAAAGGTTTTTACCCTTTAAGGTAAACTGATGTTTTTATGAGTAAAATTACCTGAACCATATCACTGAGCAAGTCAACGTTCTTAAAAACAGTCAACCAGAATTCAGGAATTCCCTTGGGGTCTTCTTTTTCTTCATCCTTTTTCTCATCTTCAATCTTGGCTTTTTCTTTCAGCTCCTCCTTGATAAATGACAGCATTAGGTTACTGAATTCCTAAATCAGACCACTTGATAAAATCTTACCCATCCCCTTAACTTACATCCAGCAGTGAAGTACAGAAACCAACAAATCCTCAATCACCAATTGCAACTTTCAATCAATGAAGTTCTAGTCCAATGTGTAAACACTGCTGTTATACACATACCAAACTGTACTTCTGTAAATATTGCTACTACCATACCCCTCCAAAGAGAGAACCTATGAACTATAGGGAAAGTTTTAGAGGAAAACATTTTAAAACTTCAGGAAAAAAAATAATAAATATAAACCTTGCCCAATTCCTCACCCCTTGGTGTTCTTGATCAAAACATTATGTTCTCTGGGTTAGCCTGGTGATGGGTATTAAAGAGGGCACGTTCTGCATGGAGCACTGGGTATTATGCACAATGAATCATGGAACACTACATCAAAAACTAATGATATAATGTATGGTGATTAACATAACAATAAAAAATTTAAAGAGAAAAAAAAACACTATGTTCTCCTTATCAACCAACATTAAAATAGCAATGCTGGGGAAACAGAGTCATGTAACAGAACACTGTATTTGTGTTACAACCCTGCCATTTATTAATTGTAGGCAAGTCATTAGAAGCCTCCATTTCATCATGTGAAAAACAAGAACAATCCTTTGCAGGTCATCATGAAGTTCAAAGGAAAAGTTCACATAATCTATAAAATTTAAATACTAAAAAAATGTAAGGGAAAAATGAATTTGGGTACAGATGGTACCAGGGCTAACAGTGGCTCATCTGTTCTGATTATAGTTAACTCACCATGAATCTTACAATAAAGTATTTCCAAGGTATAAAAACACACTAAATTATAAAGTTGGTACCAACCGAAATTTCATCCTCCTCGTCTGGTTTCCATTCACATTCTTCTTCCGTAGGTTCATAAATTGCATTAATGATCTCAAATCGCTAAAATGATTAAGATAAAAAAAGCTTGCATAAAAACACTGACATCCAAACCAGAAACTAGTTGTTCCTCATTAAAGATGTGTATAGATTTAATGAATGCATACCACAACTTGAATTGCTATTGACAGTTTTCCCAATTACCTCTAATAACCATTTTGCTGAGAGGTCTAAAGACTAAACCACCTGCAAGTTTGTTTATATTTCCAGAGCTTTATTATAATCTCAAATTTTAGATAAAGAAAATAAAACAGTAGAAAGCATTACCTTATCAAATAGAGGCTGATAGAGAACAGCATACTTTCTTTCAAGATCATGAACTTCCTCATAGAATTTGGCTTCTATCTGTGCACATTTAACTTGAAGATTTTTGAGAGCATTCACTCGTCTTTTAACTACCCTAGGCAAGCTGAAAGGTTGGAACGCACCAGTTACACAGCATCACAGTAAAACACAAGTCACACTTCTATCATATTGAAAAGTAAAGCATAAAAGTTAGTGAATGATAGGTTTCCTATTTGAAGCAAAAGGTATACTCATTCAAAGTAATTAAAATTCAAGAAACATAAATACATGGACTTCTTGACTATAAAAGAGTTCAAAAGTGAACATTTAAACAGATACAGTAAGTTGTGATAAGAAAATGTAAATCATATCAACCCTAAATCTTTCATTATAATCAAGTTCAGCATTTGACTTGTCAGTGCTGGCATTTAAGCTGTAAAACGGTATCTTAGGAAGTTAAAAAGTCATGGACTGATAATTCCCGAGAATAAGGACAATAACCTTGATTTAAAAAAAAAAAAAGTAGACATTATCTCACCCATACCAGCTATTTTTAGGGAAAAGGATATTATATTAGAAAAAAGGATGGTATCCTACACCATTATTTTCTATTTTAGTCTCTATTTAGAATTTAAATTTATATTAAAAAAAGAATGTTGTATTTCATGAAGGGATTTTTCATAACAGCTTTGAGATATAATTCATAAATCATACAATTTACTAGAGGGTATAATATAGGCCCCCTGAGTTATGATTCAACTTATGAATCCCCCCACCACCCAAAAAATGTTCACTCAAAATTTATCTAACTTCAGGAATCTGTACAACAGGTACAGAATCCAGGTTAGAATTTCCTGCCACAGGCAGATTGCTGTAAATCAAATAATTTTCTTAGTTAACCACTACTTTATAGTTAAGATAATCAGAAGTAAAAAATTACCTGCAGATAATTTTTTTTTCCTTACAATTAAAAGTAAAAAGTTTGTTTTGTCAAGGTAATAAAATAGCATGGGGTGCTGCCCACCCCCACACTGTATCTCAGAAAAATTCAACCCTAGAAACTTCAGAACCAAGAAGAAAACAACTATTTTAGAGACTCACACACACTCACAAGCACACACACACTACGAGCAACTTCTGAGTAAGACTAACAACTGTACAGAGTGAACTGCAACCTGGAAAAGGGAGGGAATGGGCAGAATGGGTAGCAGTGAAGACAGGCTCAAAGAGAGCTTTTCAAATTCTGCACTTGCCTTACAACAGTGAGTGTCTGGCTGAGAGCCTACAAGCACTCATTCCTCCACCCCGCCAATCCAGGTACAATGGATTACAACCAAAGGAGACTGCCTCCTCCCCAAAAGCAGCAAAAACAATTGCCTGGAATTGACAGCAAACTGAGTCTGAAGTAACTGGAGCTCTCCTTAGGTTCATTCCAATCCCTTTTCTTAAATTCCATTGGGACTGTCACAAACCAGAGTCTGATCTTTATTCCTCCCTCAATAATCACTATTGGGGACTAACTGTTATCAACCAGTGAGCCTGAGCTCTACAGCCAGAGTAACTAAACCCTTAAGGAGTATAAATTTTAATGAAAGAATGAAATATTTATCATCTGAAGCCGTATTATTAGACAAAATAATATAAATATATTTAAAGAGATGAAAGAAACAAGACCAAGAAATCTAAAACAAAGTAGAAATATTAAATATGAAAAATACAGTAGCTAAAATAAACCAACAAATAGGATAAACAGGATAGGTTTAACTTAAGGAAGTCCATTAACGTTCAAAAGCTCTCCAGAAAGGCAGCAGGAAAGACAGAAAAATTATGATTTGGATGACAAAAGTAGCAATAGCTGAAAGAAGGGAGGTAGATATCTGAATAAATGAATAACAAATTTCTCAGAGTTAAAGTAATATGGAAATCCTTACTCTAACCCTCAGATAGGTTAATGAGATTCATGAATATCAAAGACCAAAGAAAATCCTACATGTGTTCAATGAAAAACCTACACAGGAAAAGGAATTTGACATCAGGCTTCAAAAGAAAACACCATATACAAGAAGAAATGAACTTTTATTTAAGAACTCTGCACTACAATTTTATAAGCCAAACTATTATTCAAATATGAAGACAAAATAAAAGTTGTATGAGGCATATCAGGCTTCAGGAAATATGCCAGAGATACTCAATACATTCATTAAAAATAATTTCTGATAAAGTTAAAAAAATTAAGAAATTACTATATAAATATAGGTGGCCAAATATCTTGGTAAATCTTACTGTTGCCTTGATGGAAAAAAAGGAGGACTAGAGAACGTGTATTTATAAATAATACAGACATCACTAAATTTAAGAAATCAATATGGGTAAATAAACTTAGGTATTAGGTTATGAGCCTATTTAACATAACAACAGAATGCAGTAACTTTGATACCAGAAGACTTCATTTATTTAATGGAAAGCAAAAAAAGAGAAAAGAAACAAAGTACAATAAATTATAAAATAGCAATTAAGTCCAAAAACAATACTGCTTTCAAGAAATGCAGAGTTTAAAATTACTAATGAAGAAGCAAACTTCCATACTAGAGATAAGATACAAGAATGGAAAAAGACATGCCAGGTAAATAAAAACCAAGAGCAAGCTACAACAGGCTATCTTAGTATCAGACAGAACAATTTATACCACCACCACCACCACCACCACAAAATACAAGAGGACACTACACTGGTAAACAGGAACAAAAGGACAAGACACATACATCACACACACATAGCTAATAATACAGCTTCAAAATATATTAATCTATAACCAATAGAATTACAGGGAGAAACAGATTTAAGTGGAAATTTCTAACACTTCTACCTAGAAACTGTTAGATCAAGCAGTCAGTCAATAAGCCAATATAAGAGAACCTGAACAACACAATTAATAAATCTAGGCTACTAATTTCAACATATAGATCTTCACACTTAACTTTCATAGAACATTTAGAAAAACAAATATTAAGGCCATAAAAGATAATTTTTAAAAAAATCAAATGAACGAAGCTTCAATTCAAGAAACTGGAGGGGAATGGAGCAAATCCAAATTAAGGGTTCTCAAACTCCAAAGGCAAAAGTCCATTTTTAGAAGAGTTCTACCAACTGTTCAAGGAACAGTTAATTCCTATCCTATACCAATTGCTTTGAAAACGGGGAAAAGTAAAAGCAACCCTGTTTATTCATTAAGCAGTTGAAATCTTGACTCTAAAACCAGGGCATGGAATTACCATCCCATGGAAGTTTCTATATTGTACATACATGCACACATGCATACACACACACACACACACACAGGCACACATACTCAAGTACATTTCACTAAAAAATAAGGACCTTGAAAAAGATATTAACTACTTGACTTAACAGTGTAATAATATATGAGTAAATTTATTCCAGGAATGCAAGGCTAGTTTAGTATCATGTTTCCAAAAATATATTATAGTATGTACTTAACAGTCGAAGAAAAAGTCAAAAGACCATCTGAATACATACAGAAAAAAAGGTCATTAATAAATCTAAGCAGACACCAAGTTTAATGGCAAGATTTTATATCCATCCCTGGTTAGGACTAGAAATAAGATAAAGATGCTCATGTTTAATGCTAATTGTTTAACACAGTACTGAAAGTCCTGGCCAACGTTATAATGAAATACAAATAAACTTGGTGTGCTGTAATGTGACAGATTAGAGCTTAAACTGCCATTATTTGCAGACAAGATCGTCTGCCTTTGGGAGAAGAAAAAATTACTATAGTAAGTGTAGCAAGATTTCTGGATACAAGATCAACAGCAAAAGAAATAAAAAATAAAAATAAATCAATAGCACTCTTCTCTACATCAACAACAGCCAACCTGGAAATACAATAAAAAATAAGATACTATCCACAATAGCAACACAACTAAAGTATACAGGAATTAACCAAGAATAGACTACGAGAAAAACTTTGTATTAAAAGAGAGTATGATTTCAATAAATACAAGGATATGGATGAGACAATTTTACATTAAAAGAAAAATCCCCTAACCATGTTAATCAATAGATTCAATATAACCCCTATCAAAATTTTAGTGCGGGGGGGGGCTGTTTTGTTTTGTGAAAACCCCTCTAAACTTACTATCAACCATATGTGGGATAAGGTCTACATATAATTAGGCCAATCTTAGTGTATTCCATAGGGGAGGGGGGAAGGGTAGAAGAAAGCAAGCTATTACAGGGAGAAACAAATTAATAGAAAGATTAAATTATCACCCTGCTAGATAGTAAGACATACTAAAAAGCCATATTAAAAAGAGTGCTGCTCAAAGACAAACACAGGTGTTTATAAGAAACTGATATGCAATAAAGGTGGTATCACAAATAAATGAGGAAATAATGAACTGTTTAGTGAAGTGTTATAAAAATAAGCTCACTAAAAAAACAAAAAACAAAAAAAACCCTGATGCATAGCTAAATACAAAGGTGGCCTCAAGAGGGTTTATTAAAGACCTAAAGATGAAAGGTAAAACTAGTCAACAGGAAATGCAGAAGGAACTAGGAAGGATTTCTGAACTTGAAAGAATAAGCCACAGGTCAAAAAACTTAAAACACAAAAATTAAGGACTTTTGTTTAATGGAGAATGCTATGGATAAAGTTAATAAAAATGACAATGGATTACTTACAAAGTCTAAAACTGGTAAGAGATTAACACCTTGAATATACAAAAACTCCTGCAAAACAAGACAGTAAACCCCAGTAGGAAAATGGACAATGAGAGCAACCTAAAAGGCTCACAATGATGAAGAAAAGCTCAAAACTCATTAGACAACAAAAGTACAAATAAAACAAAATAAGCCTGCACCTCTTAGATTGGTAAAAACAAAAAACCCATAAAGCTGAATGATGCCAACTGCTGGCAGAGATACAAGGATGAAGGTTGCCTTCATGCACTGGACACAGTCATTGTAGAAAGCAAGCTGAGAAGTACTTAAAGCTTGCATACCCTGTAACTAACAATCCCACCAGTAAATACATATCCCCCCAAAATTCTTACAGTTCTTTAAGAAGGCATGCAAAAAGAGGACCATTACAACGGAATTTGTGTTGATGGAGCTCAGAAGCAATCAAGATACCCATCAAAGAAAAAGCATATTAAAAAAAGCATGTAATAAAACATGGTGGACACAAATCACTGTAAGTGACAACATTCAGAAGCTAAAAACTACTGATGAGAGATTACATACAGATAGCAACATGGATGGCTCTTAAAATCATAACAATTATAAGCAGAATAAGATATACGGGCTATTGCAAATGATTCATAGGACCAGTGAAATAAATAAGAAATCTGTATTTCTTCTAATTCTGTGCATTTCTAGCAAACCTCCAAACAAATCTCAGAAATGGTTAAGATCAGTGTACTTTTCCTGTGGAGAGGAGTCAAACTTCAAAACACCAACTCTAAATTGGTGGTACTCAGCAAAATTTTTAAACTCCCAAAAATCCTATACTAGATACTAACAGACATTAGCTTTCCACTATTACATATCTAAGTCCTAGATGGTCTTAAAAAGATACAACTGCAATGTTGATTATAGAAGGCTAAATAAGGACTACAGAAAAGAAGAACTTGTACCTTTCAATGTATCCTGTTGGTGTTTCTACCAGACCATCAAGTCTTTCTTGAAGGGCTGCAAGAATCTGAGGATTTTGCATCATCTGAACAGTCAGCTGACGCGCTTAAAAAAAAAAAAAGGGCATCGAAAGGATTTTATGAAAATATATTATGCTATTTTAATAGGACAATCCAATCATGACGCTTTCCTGACTAGCCCATAATTCATTGGTCTGAGTAGAGATGGGCAGCAAGCTGAGGAAAATCCACTCTAGGAAAATCTGACGTTCAGGAAAAGTTCAGATTCCTAATGATCTTAACACACGCCATTTCTGAAGACCATTGCCACAACTACTATTAACAATAAATATCCTTTCTCTTCCTACTGTCTTGTGTTTCATCCACCTTACATTTTTAAGAAGCTCAAAGCTTCACCCAGATGCCTACCTAAGACTCTAGCTAACACTTTGAAGGCAGATAACACATTATCGGAAGTACACTGACAGTTTCCACCCTGGGAGAAAGACTGTGGAGTGAGTAACCTAAATGTTTGTTTGATGTTTATAGTATAGTATGCTTCTGTTTATCAGAATAGAGAAAGTTAATAGTTGAGACAATCAAGGTTGTAACTAAAGCCAAACAAAACGTGGTTGTTAATGGTGTCTAAAAATTATACTCAATCCAAAACTAAACTAGATTTAGGCAAAACAAATTGTTTTGCTATTATCATCTCCTCGTCAACAGACATTACACAAAAATGACATGAATTTTCCCAGTTATGTTTTTAAAGGTCAATTCCTAATATTAATTTGATTACTGGATGATGTACAGTTATGATAACCAACATGCCTTTAGAAATGTCAATACTGGCCACTAAGGATACCGACCTCTGTATCTTTTAAGACAATGCTGCAAGATGAAAGCTGAAGCTAAAGTTCAGTCGTCTTTTCACAATTAACCTCCCTCTGGCTTAACAATGGAAAGCTCAGTTATTTAGTACTTTTAATATTCTTGGCCCATTCCTATAGGGCATAACCTAAAGCAGTACAATTCCCCCCCTACCATCACTACCTCACCCTTTACAATTATTTGCTAAAAAAAAGTAGGAGTAATTTTTGTTTACATTTAGTAAATGTCTTTTTTGTCATTTGGTTGGGAAGGATTAAAAAAAGGTTGAAATACACAAATGTTTTCTACATACGAAATACTGAGTATTTCCAGTAACTCTAAGCTGTTTAGAACTACCACCAAAAACAACTCCCACCAACACCTGTAACATTTCTAAATTCAGACAAAACTCATGGGCAGCTGTTTGACACAGTTATGCCATGTCACTCCAGCATTAGAAGGCATACAGAGTAACTTCTGATAGGTCACTAACTATATTCATACCTTCCTCCCTTACTACCACTCTATCCCCATCTCCCTCTTCCCCTCCTTTCTTCCCCCCACCCCAAACATACACAAACTGTTACTGAACTAGAGGTATGGGCCGCATGGGTAAAGTGTCTAGACAAGGATCCAAAAGGGAACAGTATTTGTTACTACCCTCTAGAAGACATGTGCCAGCAATCACTGGCTCCTGAAGTAATTTAAAGTAATACCTTTGATTTTTGTTTCTTCACCAGTTTCTTCTTCTTCTACTTCTTCAACATCATCCAAATCTTGATCAAGTTCAGACTGTTCTTTGCTACAATATCATAGTATCACACCAAGGTTCAAATGTACCAATTACCAAAAAATAGATAAAAAATTATAAAAAACTTCAATTCATTTTCTAGGTTAATATGCCTCTTTCAAAAATATGAAATAGGAAATTCCAAAGGTAATTCAGTTTTCTTTCTAACTTCATATATAAACAAGCACAAACTGGAAGTACGTAAAATTTCATTTAAAAGCACATGGTCAAATATAAAATTTCCATTTTAAGCTCATTTCCCCCCAAGATTTTATTTTTAAGTAATCTCTAAACCCAATGTGGGGCTCAAACTAAGAATGTAACACCCCAAGATCAAGAGTTGCACGCTCCACCGACTGAGCCAGCAGGGGCCCCTCTATTCCAAGCTTTAAAAATGTGGTTTGACAGTGTTGGTTCCAGGAACGTGAGGTCGGTCAGAAAGTATGTGCTCTTTACCCAATATCCACCGCTTTCACTCTTCTTAGTAACAGCACCCTGATTTTATATGAGATGGCAATACACCAAGCTTTTAAAAATCTACATTTCCCAGCCTACCTTTTAGCTAGGTGTGGTTATGTAACTCTGGGCGGTAAGTTAAAAAAGCAAAATGTATAGAATTTTGAGTAAGCCTCCTTTATAGAACAGTAGACAGCTGGGAGGCCTTTTTGATCTTGCTCCCTTCATAGAATAGGGATGTGATAACTAGAGTTCCAACAGCCATGCTGGACCAGGAGGCATCCTAGAGAATGAAAGTCAACAGAATGAAGGAGTTTGGAAGAACAAGGATCCTGGATCCCTGATGGCTATGGGGCAATCACATCAGCCTGTACTCACTATCTTTGGACTTTCCTCCTTTTTCTTTACTTCATAGTGGAGATGGGCAAAAAGTTAAGAAGACCTGAGTCTACTTCATACTTAGAGCAAAGCCAGGAGGATGGCACCATTGAAAGGAAAAAAGTAGTAAAATAACACTCTCCCCATTTCATCTTAAAAATCTAGTTTTTGCATATGAAATTACAATGGAATTAAAAAAAAAGGAAAATAAGGTTATCTAAGTCAACATATAGGTCTTCATATAATTCCTTGTGTGATTTTACATTTTAGTATTTGGTTTACAGATTTAGTCACGTTTATGTTTAGAAACAGCATCTGAAGTATTAACTTTCATATAGAGACAAATACTATCTAATTTTCACATAACAACAAATACAGAAAAGGTCAACTGTATTCTGCCAGCAAAATTTATGTTCCTGTAAACTCAAACTCAAAGGAGAAAAAACTCAGCCTTCCCGTCAGAAACAATAGATTGTTTCTGAAATTATCTTTGATTTAGTATAAACTTAAGCATACTTAGATTTAAGGGCCATTAACTAAAGATCACATAGCACAGCTATTCCTCCAGTGTGATTTTAATCATTTAATGAACATCTACATCTTAAGGCTTTAAAACAGGGGTCCACAGACTATGTCACATGGTCAAATACAGCCCACTATTTTTGTAAATAAAACTTTATTGGAACACAGCCACATAAGTTTATGTACTGTCTATGGCTGCTTTCACACTACAACAGCAGAGTTGAGTAACTACAACAGAGACTATATGGCCCCAAATGCCTAAAATATTTATAATCAGGTCATTTATACAGAAAGTCTGCTTGACTCCTGCTTTAAGGAACAAGAATCCTCCCTCCCTCCCACTCTCCTAGGGCTGACAGCAATCTTAAAATTAAATAAGGGGATGGTGGGGAATCAAGCGGTCACAACCAATTTATTCTTTTTTTTTTTTTAAGTTTAAAACAAAATGAAGTTGCAAGGTTAAGATGGCAGATTGCACATACTCCTCTGATCGTAATCCTTCCAAAATCTCTACTAAAATTACGATAAAAGGGTTTTTCAAACAGACAAACATTAAAGGACACGAAGACAAGAGCAGCAACAGTAACATCATTGAGAACTGAAATCTAACAGTCAGAAAAGCTGAAAACTAGACCAAACACAGAATCAAAAGGGACACTTCTGGAATTTGGGCTGGGGGGATGAAATTGGAGAAAATAGGGAGGACTAAACAAAAACTGATAAAGCAGTTAAATCCCCAAGATTCTCTCCCTCAATCCAGCAGCATAGCAGTTTCTTCTTTGGAAAGGGTTAAACTAAGAGCTCAGACTGTAAGACCACAGATACAGCCCAAAGTCTCTCAGATATAGGACTGTATCACGCTAGAATGTTGAATGTAATGGAGAGACCCTTCCCTGGCCACCTTTTCCCAATTTGGATTCCACAACACTGAAAGCCAGATCTTTACCCAGATACTCTTCCTTGGGGTATCTGACCAGTCCAGAAAAAAACATCCTTCTGACAATGGGGATTCTCACAATAAACAACCACCTTGATGACCTTACATTACAATCTAAATTAAAGGCCTCCCTCCACCCCACAACACTCAAATTTTCTAATCAACTTTTTTCTTAAACATCTCTCAACTGCACGTTCTCCCCCACCCCAATCTTAGTGAGCAGACAACCAAGTATTACCTCCTATTTGAGAAAATGCTTTTACATGGAAACGAAAACAAATAGGGGAAAGAAAAATTTAAGAGCAAACATACAGGGGAAAAAACATCCAGAGAAAAGATATTACAATTCAGAGAAAAGACATTACAATCAATGAAATAGGAACACGATGCTATAAAAAACAGGAACAGAGAATAAAGACACTCCTGAAAACTATACAACAGAAATTTAGAAACTCAATACAAGAGCTGAAAGATAAAATTTCTTCAGCTTTGCCCAGAAAGAAGAGCAAAGAGATAAAGATGGAAAGTAAGACAAAAGATAATTAGAAGAACAAGTTCAACATATAACATAATAGGAGGTCCAGAAAGAGAAAACGGAAATAAGACAATCAACAAAATAAGTCAAGAATATTCCCCAGAACTGAAAGCCATTGAGTTGCCAGACTGAAAGGGCCCACCACTGAACGCCTAACACAAGAAATTTAAAAAATACATATAAACAATGTGAAAATTTCAGAACTCTGAAGCCAGAGTGCTTCCAGAAATATCTATGTTTAAAACAAAAAGTGTCACAATGATCAAGAATTATAATGACTTTGAACTTCAACACAGCAATATTGGAAGCCAGGTGGTAATGGAGCAATGCCTTCAAAATTCTGAAGAAAGAGGATTCCCAAATGAGAATTCTACACTCAAAATATCAAACATAAGGATAGAATTGTCATTTTCAGTCATTTATCTCAAAATAATTTGTTTCCCTTGTACTCTTCCAAGAAATATTAAAGAACCAAAAAAGAAAATTACATGGGATACAGCAAATAGCAAACCCAAGAAAAGCAGCAAAAGGACACCCCAGGAAGATAATAAAATAGAACCACAATGATAGCTATATAACCAAGGTTAAGCAATCCAGATTGGAACAGTAATAAAGGAGGCAATCACTTTGAAAACCATTATCACTAAAATACCTGCTCCCATTCTTTTTAAGCATGGAAGAATTAGCCAAATTCTTCTATGTACTTGAATGTGATGCCCCTGTGCTAAATTTTCCTGCCTTCCCACCTCCATGCTCTGCTGCCTACAACCTGTGGATGGTCGTATCGTACACCTAAATCCATGTCCAAGTGTTGTTTTAACCTACCCCTAAGTTGTGTGAAATTATAAGCAACAAACAATGCAGCTCACCCATTCTCCCTTACCGTATTTCTGCAGAACATCCATCCACACTAGAACCCTGCCAGAAGTCAACTTCATTAAACTGATCTTTCTAGAGTGTATGACCTTGCCCAATAAATTCTTCACGAAAGTTGAAGCTAGACTGTGACCCAGATAATCTTTTTGGTGTTTTTTTTTTCCTACCTTAGAGACTTCAACTGATAGTGATAATACTGCTTTTCTTTTTAAACACAGCTAAGTTTGTGACTGCTATTCAGATTTTCAAAATTACACACTGATTAACAATGTGCAGGTGTTAAAACTCTAAAAAAAAAAAGGAATGATTTAGACAAATGCCAAGACAGTGCTTACACGTCTGGAGAGGAAAGTTGGAGGATGCAATTGAGAAGAGGGACACTGGGCTTCTAATAGTAATGTTTTACTTTTAAAAACTCATAAATTACAAGTATCCTATTACTCTTTAAACTCTACATATAGATTTCATATACTTTTTATCTTGTATGTATGACACCCTAATATGGAAGTAGTAATTACCATACATGTATGGTGAAAATGAATTCTGCAAATATTTCTGATTCATTACTGTGCTCAGCACATTTCTAAGAATAAACACTGGCAAATGGTTTATTGTATTTAAGACAATGATTATATATACTATATTTTATCTTGGATACACTGTACCCAACTATTCTAACAGCAGGTACTAAGCATCAGTCTTTACCATACATTTTTATAATATGTTATTATTACGACTATTAATTACATCACAGTACAAAGTGAAGCCAAATCTCTGGGAAAAGAAAAAAAACAAACAAAAAAACCAACTATCTAGCACTTACTTGTCAATGTCTGCCATGTTGTAAGAATTCCAAATATCTATGGAGAGAAATGTCAGTGTTAACAAAATATACATGTATAATGTATTTAAAACCATTAAAAATATTTGATGCCCAAACCCTTTAAATCAGTAACACACTGAGAATCATCACACGGAGGAATGTATACCCCCATTAGAAACACATCAGTGTTAAGAAGAAAAATCGTGGCACATGTATATGGACTTTCATACTAGCCCCCAAAGTAATTTTTCAGAGGATATTGCTAAAAATAAGCAAGTTATTACTAGGCTTTTAGAATCTACCATGTAAGGACATTTTTTCATAATAGCACTGCTGGTAAAGAATCTGATGTATGCTAGTATCACAGAAAAGGAACAATACAAGAGTTACTTTAACAACTACAAATGGTCGATTTTTGCTAAAATTTTTAGACTACTTAGTACCTCACAGAACCCACTTCATTTTTACCAGTATTAATTCTTACCAAATTCATGTTAAAAAGCCAAAATCTGCCACCATTATGCCTCTGGAGATCTTTCTAAAAAGTTTAATAATCCTACCAAATGTCAGTCCTTTAAGCAACTTAATGACAGTTTTAAAGCTCTGGGTCCCAATCTGTATCAAGTAAACCTTCCCCATCTCTTCAAATGTACCTCATGTCTTATCACAGATAAGGACCACACCCCCAGGCTACCCTGGATATGCTGTCATATTGTCAACAAACTCTTGGTTACCTGACATCAATACTGTTAGAACTGATCTGGAGAATATCCTAAATTCTTTCCCACTATAGATAGATTAGTATTGACTTAGAGAATACTGCTTTTAGAAAAAGAAAACTAGAGGTAAAACGTGTTATATTCAGGCAGGAAAATGACTAATGCCACATGTAATGAATGCACAGACTACCAAAAAAAATAATCTAAATCAAGCTTAGGATCCCACATTAAAATCAAGTTTTTATCTTTTAGTAATTAAAACCACAGACTATTAGTAACTCTCAGAATGGTACAAGATGTGATTCCTCATCTCAACATGTTTTATACGATTATTACTTGAATAGTTAAGAAGAGAGTTACTGATTTCAGCAGTCAAGTCAAGTGCTAATATGTGGAGTATTATTACTGATCTAACATCCATCCTTTGAACAAATTGTGAAGAAAATATTTCTTCCTAATAATGTATCCTATTCTACTTTAAATTTTTTTTTGCTTTAAATAATTTCTAATAGCACTCATAAATTTTTCTGGTGATGCTGGGTAATTTACAAAATTAACAAAATACTTAGCAAACAATTATGAAGAAATATAAATTCAAAAATAAAAATACTGAATCTTAATCATCAAAGAAATGCAAGTGGAATTCTCATTTGTCTATCAAATCAGCAAGGTTCTTCTTTCAATGCAGGGAAAACGGTGGTGAACATGCATTCTTAAATATGGCTTGTGTTCCTATAAACTATTTTCTCTCTGGAGACTAATTTGGCCATACTAATATCAAAAACCTTAAATGTGTGTATCTCCAGCTTTAGTTATATTCACTTGTGAGACTCTAACATGAAAAAAAATATTATGAATCTAAAGGCTTGTGCTTTTCATGTTTGCCTACAAGATTCTTCCGAAATTCAGTTAACATAACCTTTGGCTCTTAGCGCAAAGCTTTACTTTTTCAGAGAGGCTTCTCCAACCTGTACATTCTGGCTAAATAAGATTTCTTGGTTATACACACCTATATAAAGCCCTATTTCTTTCCATCGTAAGATGTCTCAAGTTTGTAATTACAAATTAGTGTGATTATTTGACTAAGCTCTATCTTTCCCAACTAATCACAGCACAAGATTCATATTACAGGGATTATATGTGCTTTTGCCAATCGCTGCATTGCATCCTTCAGAGCAGTAATACATAAAGCTTATATAGAGAGAGAGCAGCTACAAGTACTTATCTCATCAAAAATAAATTCAGTATTAGCATGGAATGTGCATACAATGAAATGCTTTGCAGTAAAAAATGAAGCAGATATGAAAAAGCACAGGGCTTATGGCAAAATCCAATCTGGACAGGAATATATATATATATGTATATTCTGCCACATCTTTGCATCCTTCATATACATATATGAACATGCATGCTCATGCACATACTTTACGAATAAGGCATTTCTGTACAGATACACCAGAAACCTAATAGTAGTCACCTGTAAGAAAAGACTGGGAGAAATGAGAACTTACATTTCATTCTGCATTATTTGGCTTTCCCATATACAAGTACATTTTGCTAACGTTTTGGAACTTGCTCGGTTGAATACAGTCTAGTAAATCCAGCAATTATCAAAAATATAAAACCCCCGCCAAAACTTTTAAATTCAGGTTTTTATAACATTTTAACATGTACTCAGAAGAAAGGCTACACTGCGACCTTCCCTGTCCATTTCATGGGGTCACATTTAGAATTCAAACTCTTAAAATAAAATTCTTTTGACTCTTTATTAAGATGATTCAAGACAGAACAGGATGGCATTTACTTCTTCAGAGATACCCTCTCCAATCTGCCCTGCCCACTCTAGCTAAATTAGATTTCTTGGTTATACACACTTCCGTTTTTTAAAGCAGGCCTAATTTTGTAGTCAGATCATTTGGGTTGACACCAGCTTTGTAAAAATCTAGCTCAGGCAAACAACTTCTGGTCTTATTCACCATCTACAAAAATACAAAAAAACTGTTTCTTCATTGGATTGCTCTTGTTAAGATGCAAATTCATAAAAGACTTAACTTGTGTTTGATAACTACTGAACGTTCAAATAAACAAGCTTTTTAGTTCTGTTTTTAATTATCTTAGCACAGGGTCAATATTTCTGCAAAATAATTAGCTGAGATGACTGTTAAAATGTATAGACTAACCAGTAAATGTGCCATGGTAACGTTAAATGTTAACATTAAGGAAAACTGGGTAAGGGGCACATGGGAACTCTCCAGGAGTTATCTCTACAACTTTTCCATAAATCTAAAATTACAAATAAGTTCATTTAAAAGAGAGAGATTAATTCCCATGCCCAGATTCTGAAACAAGAGGTCTGAGAGTGGACCCAAAAATCTCCATTCTAAACAAGAAACCCAGCCCCTGAGGCACGTGGTTCTCAGACAATCAGATCACACTAAGAAAACACAGGTTTCAGTTAATACCTCCATCAGTTTTGTTTTTGTTTTTTACTGCACTCAACATTAACTAAAACCAATGAGAATTTTTATTTATCAGACATGAAATTGCTTTCTAAGAGATAGGAAGAATTCCATTTCTGGTAGTGACAAACTAAATTATGCAAACCAACTCTGCATAAAATAATTCCAAGCCCAAAATAAATATTTGCTAAAATCTTAAAAACAAGGTTTTAACTACCGAGGTAAAATCAAAAGCCCCAGACCTATCCAAGATGGGAAATCTTTACAGCAACCCTCCACATTAAGCAGGAACCCCCAAGTGCTATATTCTCAGGGATAATAAACCAGTTCTCTTGGACAAATAAACTAGAAATCACTTATCAGTGATGTCCCAAAACCTCAAGCCATGAGCTTAATTAAAGTGGTCTGCCTGATAGTGTTCCTAAGCACCTACATATCCAAATGTGAAAGGCACCTTCATCCTAGACCTCAAATAATTTATACAAGTAGTTTTCAAGAGCAGTAAGGGCAACAGAAACACAACAAAAACCTGTCCCAAACGCTTAAATATTGTCAAAAGTACTGTAAACTTATAAACATAAACATTGACAAATGACAACCATGCTTACTGAGTTTGAAAATACAGTGTCTGCAGAAGCATCTGCAAAGAACAGCCATCTATTAAAGGTGATACAACAAATTTAGCAAATTAAATAGAACTTCGAGAAATAAAAATAATGTAAATCAAACAAATGAGCAGGTTTATCAGCAGACTAAACACAGCTGGAAAGATAATTAAGCGAGGGACGCAAGCTTAGAATAATCTTCCAAAATATGGCAGAGACTAAAGGAGAGAAAACACTAATGTTAAAAGATATTTGAGGATACAATAGAGTCTAACAAAGATTTAATACAAGTTCTAGGAGAGAATGCACAAAATATTTGAAAAAAAATCAAAAGCTAAGAATTTTCCAGAACTGATGGAAGATAGCCCTACAAATCCCACCAGAACTGATGGGAGTTAGCCCTACAAATCCCAATCGGAATAAATAAAAAAGAAACCTACACTTAGATATATCAGTGAAAAGGCAAGACATTAAGACAAAGAAGTCACCTGAAAATCACAGAGAAAAGACTCAGGTTAAAGCTATAAAAGAAACACAGCTATCTTCTCTTCAATAGACCCCAAAAGACAAGAGAGTCTTCAATGTGCTGAAAATAGCCAAGGATCTTAGAATATTATACCCAATTAAAACATCTTATAAGAACGAATGTGAAACAGGTTTTCTGGAAAAAACGCCTCCAGCACTCTAATAAATTCTATTAAGTATATTCTTCAGGCAGAAAGCAAGTGATCCCAAATAGAAGAACTAATTTCCAAGAAGAAATGAGGGGCAAAAAGGGTAACTGCATATATCTAAATAAACATTTTTAAGTATCACCGTGTAGTGCGTTAAAAAATTAAAACTACAACATTAAGTCAACGGTGAAGGTAAATCAACTAAAGGCTCCCACTAAAAAGTGTCAGGCAAGATTTAAGAAAATCCAACTACATCCCATTTATAAGAAAGGTATCTATAACATAAGGATATATAGTTTCCAAGTAAAATATAGCCCTAACCAAAAGAAAGCTGGTACCACTGTATTAACATCAAAAAATAAAGTTTAAGGATAAGCATTACTAGAAATAAAAAGGTCACTCTATAATAAAAGAGTGAATTCATTAGCCAGTATATGTAATGTGCAGAAGATCTCAAAGACATGATTCATAATGTGACTGAAGGCAAATCTTAAACCTGAGAACTTGTACACAAAAAGAAATCTTCCACTGAAGAAGTGGAAACAAGTCACCGAATTAAACCACAAACTGATTATATTTTGTGCTCTTGTAGTAGTTAGATGTCCAGACATGTGTTATCAAAAGCTTCCCACCATTTCAGAAAACCTGACTCTGAATAAGTTCTCCTGAGAACTAATGAGAAGAAAGCTAACATTTATGAAGCCTACTCAGTAAGGGACTATTATAGGCTTTCCTCCTATCTGCAGATAAAATACTAAGCAACTTGCTCAGCAACACACAAAAGGTAAGAACCTAGTAATTAAAATCTGACTTCCAAAACCCATGTGGTGTCCACTATCATCCCAAAAACCAAAGTACCTGCTCTATCAGCCTACTGTTACATAGATTATACAGTAATACACTAGCTGATATTCCTTTACATAAAATGACTTACTTCATGGGGAAACAACCAATCATTAAAAATTACAAATGTTTTAGAGAGTTCAAGGGAACTAATAATAACCCAAAGATAAGATTTCCCTTTACCTGAGACCTCACATCTCCCTCCAAATTAAGCAAATCTATTTTTAAGACACTGCTGTTCTATTAATAATGTTTTCAGTGGTCCAGGGGCTCAATACTTTATTTGGCTCCAACACAACCTCATAGTTAGAA